TTTTTAATATGCTATCTAGGTTGGTCATAACTTTCCTTCCAAGGAGTAAGCATCTTTTAATTTCATGGCTGCACTCACCATCTGCAGTGATTTTGGAGCCAAAAAAAATAAAGTCTGACACTGTTTCCACTGTCTCCCCATCTATTTCCCATGAGGTGATGGGACCAGATGCCATGATCTTAGTTTTCTGAATGTTAAGCTTTAAGCCAACTTTTTCACTCCCCTCTTTCACTTTTTAGTTCCTCTTCACTTTCTGCCATAAGAGTGGTTTACAGGAGCACATTTAATTATATCATTAACATCAAGAAAACACACATATATATATATATGTACACACACATACATATATATATACATATATATAATTTCCAATTACATAAAGGATCTCAGAATGCCATCTGAATTGTTTATACTTAGATTTTATGTGTCTTTGCATGTGTGCTTCTGTGTATGTTGTTTAACTGCCCACTAACTTTTGAACTCCTTGAGGACAGAAAAGGATTATTCTCTGTACCTCCTCAACTTCATAAATTCCTCGGTTCCATCAAAACTTATCACTTGTTAATATTATCAACACCCAAACCACCCCTGCCTGTGTGTGTCATCCATATCCTATCAATGCAGCACAGTTTAAATGAGATGAACCAGATTTGTAATTTTTCTCTGTATATTCATTCGGCTCTCTAGTTTCTCCTCTGTAACTGGTCTATACCTGGAATAAGCCAAACCATGTTTAAGGCCAATTCAGTTCAGTTCAGTCACTCAGTATTATGTATAAATGTGTACAGTATTTTTATGACTATAATAAACCTATCAGTTCAGTTCAGTCTCTCAGTCGTGTCCAACTCTTTGCCACCCCATGAAGTGCAGCACGCCAGGCTTCCCTGTCCATCACCAACTCCCAGAGCTTGCTCAAACTCATGTCCATCGAGCCAGTGATGCCATTCAACCATCTCATCTTCTGTCAACCCCTTCTCCTCCTGTCTTCAATCTTTGCCAGCATCAGAGTCTTTTCAAATGAGTCAGTTCTTCACATCAGGTGGCCAAAGTATTGCAGCTTCAGCTTCAGCATCAGTATTTCCAATGAATATTCAGGAATGATTTCCTTCAGGATGGACTGGTTTGATCTCCTTGCTGTCCAAGGGACTCTCAAAAGTCTTCTCCAACACCATAGTTCAAAAGCATCAATTCTTTGGCCCTCAGCTTTCTTTATAGTCCAAGTCTTACATCCATACATGACTACTGGAAAAAACCATAGCTTTGACTACACGGACATTTGTTGGCAAAGTAATGTCTCCTCTTTTTAATGTTCTATCTAGGATGGTCATAGTTTTTCTTCCAAGAAGCAAGCATCTTTTAATTTCATGGCTGCAGTCACCATCTGCAGTGATTTTGGAGCCCAAGAAAATAAAGTCTGTCACTGTTTCCATCGTTTCCTCTCTATTTGCCATGAAGTGATGGGACTGGATGCCATGATCTTAGTTTTTTGAATGTTGAGTTTTAAGCCAACTTTTTCACTGTTCTCTTTCACTTTCATCAAAAGACTCTTCAGTTCCTCTTTGCTTTCTGAGGCCAACTATTCACAGGCTAATTGTCAGCTCATGCTGCAGTCCTTTGCTGGGGAAAACCTCTGACCCTGAAGAGTAGATTCTTCATAAATTTGTAATAATTAAGCTCAAGGGCATCCTTGATCTCATCTGCTAACCTTACTAGAATTTCCCAGTTTATTATTTTTCTGAGAAGCTTTGTCATGAGCTTTATTATCTGCTGTATCTAGAGCTTCTAACTGGCCCTGTTGCCCTTAGAGTTTTTCTAGCAGTCCTTACCTATATTTTCCTCTGAGTGGACTTAATAATCAACTTATCTCATTCCAGAAAAAAAAATCTGATGGTATTTTTATTGTGCTATAATAAATGCATCTAACTTTTATTTTTTTTTAACACTGAAAAACCATTCACTTTTATTAATCAAGACACATTAATTTTACACAGATGGAATAAAACCTTTTAGAATTGTTGTTTGATCCTTGATTAAAATACACATTACAAGCTTCTAAAAACTTTCCTGTTTCTCTGATGAAGTGATCACAGAATGTGATTTATATGCTTTACAAAATGGAGGCTAATGAAGTAAACATGGATGGACATTAATTATATTAATATGACTTTTCCAGAAAGAGTTTTCAATACTTACATAAGATAGAAGAGGTGTCCTTCCTTCAAGCCTGCCAGATAATATGCATGATTTCTCTCTGTTGCTGTTATAAAAATACCTTAGATATTCATGAACTATCCTTGTTTTGTGCTTAAAAAGCAAGTGACATAATTATTGAAAACTTAGAGCAAACTTCTATCTTGCTTTGAATTATTCCCTGAACACTTACATCATGGTGACCACAGAGGTGTCTGACATCATTGACAAATACCTCCATTCAGAGGTTTAGTGTGTATATAACATGACTGTGTTCTTAATCTTATAAATTGGAGAATAAATGTAAATGAGTCCCACTTAATATTGAAGGGCTTCTCTTATCATTGGGCAACAACCATCAAAAACATAAGTTCATGTGTACAGTAGAAACAAATCACAGCATGTAGTAATTTGAGAGGTGAATTACATTCATTTTGGTTCCTTAATAATCTCAAATAATGTTAACATAAGCAAGGATACATTAATAATTATACCTCTGCAAATATCCACCCCTTCCTCTTGTGATCCATACTAACATATCAATTTTGTATGTGTTTTACTTATGGAATACATGCTATAGTGTTTCTGCTTCAAGTAATTCAACAAAAGTGGTACTAATGAAATGCTTTCTAGTATGAATTCTCTGGTATTGAGTTACTTTTCATGTTTGATTAAGCAGTTTTCTACATTTTTTTATTTCATTCGGGTATCTGTCAGAAGAAAACACTAGTTTTTTCAAAATTGTATATTTAGGACCAAATTTTTTGTCACTGATTCATTTCCAGGGTTTCTCTGCAGTATGAATTCTCTGTGAGTGAGGTGATGGCTGTGATGAAATCCTTTGCCACATTCCTTACATTTCTAACATTTCTCTGCAGCATGAACTCTCTGATGCCCAGAAAGACCTGAACTCTGGGAAAAGGCTTTGCCACATGCTGTACATTTATAAGGTCTCTCCCCAGTATGGATTCGCTGATGTCGAGTAAGAAAGTAATAACGGGTAAAGGCTTTGCCACATTCTGTACATTTATAATGTCTTTCCCCGGTATGTATTCGCTGATGTTGAGTTAAAGCTGAACTCTGCTTAAAAGCCTTGCCACATGCTGTACATTTATAAGGCCTCTCCCCAGTATGGATTCGCTGATGTTGAGTTAAAGTTGAAATCTCCTTAAAAGCCTTGCCACATGCTGTACATTTATAAGGTCTCTCTCCAGTATGGATTCGCTGATGTCCAGTAAGAAAATAATAACGGGTAAAGGCTTTGCCACATTCTGTACATTTATAAGGTCTTTCTCCGGTATGGATTTGCTTATGTTGAGTTAAAGTTGAACTCTGCTTAAATGCCTTGCCACATTCTGTACATTTATAAGGTCTCTCCCCAGTATGGATTCGTTGATGCCGAGTAAGAAGAGAATAAATGATAAAGGTTTTGCCACATTCTATACATTTATAAGGTCTCTCTCCAGTATGGATTCGCTGATGTCGAGTAAGAACATAATAATGGATAAAGGCTTTGCCACATGCTGTACATTTATAAGGTCTCTCCCCAGCATGGATTTGCTGATGTTGAGTTAAAGTTGAAATCTCCTTAAAAGCTTTGCCACATTCTGTACATTTGTATGGTTTCTCCCCAGCATGGATTTGCAGATGTTCAGTTAAATATGAACTCTGATTAAAGGTTTGGCCACATGCTGTACATTTGAAAGGTTTCCTTCCTATATGAATTTTCCTAAGTCTACTTAGATTTGGTGAGTTACTAAAGACTTTTCCACATGTATTACACTTGCAATGTTTCTGCTTACTCTGAATTATCTGCTGTTGAATAAGGTTTGAAGGCTGGTTAACAACTTTAACATAATCATAACAATTATAACTCTTCTCTCCAATATCCATACTCTTATAAGTATCAATAATAAGATTTGAGCTTTGCTGAAATATATTCCTACACTGATGATGTTTAGAATTGTTGTCTGAAAATTGATGTCCCTGTTGTTTCATGGGATATGAGTCTTGGTCAACATTATGCCCAGTTTCATTGCTTGAAGAGCTTCTCATTCCATCATGTATACTTTTGTAACTATTGGGGGTAGAGCTCCTGCTTAAGGCATTCCTCATTTTGTTACACTTGGAAAGTTGTTCCACACTAATTATACCTCCATATGTGTTGAATAATGATGGTTGAATAAGGTCTCTCCCATTATTATCAACATTACAGATTTTGGAACAAGGAGAAAATGGTTGTTGGTTGAAGGACAAGAAATCCTTGTTAAAGGATCCCTCAAATTGATTGTATTGGGAATTTTCCCCATCATGTTTAAGTTTCTGGTTTTCAGACGTGTTTGAATGAATATTTAATAGACAGCTATGCTCAGAATATAGGTTTGAATGAGTATTTGCAGTAGAGACTAGATGACTTTCCAGATTTTCCACATTTCCCTTCAGAGAACATGTATGTATCAAGAGATGATGTGGGCCTTTGCTGACAAATATACACTTATCTGCAGATGTTGATGACTGAAACTGGTCATCTGAAATTGGTTTTTCCTTATTTGATTCACATCCTTGATTTCTTTTGGCGGTAATGTTTAGTTTATGGGAAACTGAACCAACTTGGTTGTGTCCATCATAACATGCTCTCTGCCCTTTATAGGGCCTCATAGATTGCCAGTCTTTGGTTAAATGTAAATTTCCAAGGTGAAATCTTTCATATATTCCTAGCTTTGCTGTTGGGAGTAAATCTTCTAAGCCTGGCTTTTGGGTCCTCAAACCCTGGGTGTTGTGGGAAGACACAGCTGAGTTATCTGCTTCATTCATAGACACATACTTGGGTATATGGCTGTCTCCATTCTCCTTACATCCCAGGGATCCTTCATTTGCTCCAGAAACGTGACCAGGTCTGGCTTAGAGACCACAAGACCCAAGCAGGACAGATTCCCGTAGTTCTCTAACATCACGTCCCTGTACAATTCCCGCTGACCAAGGTCCAGGCATTCCCACTCCTCTTGAGTGAAATCCATGGTCACATCCTGGAATGTCAGCAGCCCCTGAGAAGCTGCCATTTCCTCCTCTTCTTCCTCCTGCTCTGCGTCTTCTCTGGGGATGTTACATCCCAAACTCACATCTGCATCTTGAGAAAATAACTTCAAAGGCATCCATGCAGCTGTTTAACCTGCAACTGCTGCAGGGAAAGAGAAGAAAAACTTTTCCTGTTTCCCTCACCCTTTTCTGAGCTCCTTTTCGACTTTCTGTGTTCCCAATCTGTAGTGGGGAATCTAGACTAACCTGATAATGCTAATCACAACCTGGTGCTCTACACTATTTGCAGATCGTCTGGGCTAGTTCTTCTCCTTCCTTTTCCTGCATCTAACTTTTAAAAAAGACCTTTATGATGTTGAATCCAGTCTACAGCCACACTAGCCTGAACACGCCTGATTTTGTCTTTATGATGTTAAGTCTTCCTCTTCAAGAATACATATTTATTTAAACAGATATATTTGATTTAACAATCACAACCAGTACATTTCCATTAAAAAAAGTAACCATGAATCATATCTATAATTGTAAGCTAAATGTACATGCAGGGATTTTCACATTCTAAATTTCTTTATGGATTTGCTTATAAAGATTCTGGATAAATTTAAATATTAGCAGGTAACCAAATGGATAACAAGTTAAATGGATACATTTCAGAATAGAGCCTCCAAAATGAAATTAAGATACTTGAAAAAATTAATAGATGAGTTTTAATAAGAAATCAACTGTTCCTAATTATTTGTAAATGATCATCCAATTTAGTGATAATTTTAAAAAATCTCCAGTTATCTCCATCACCAATTATATTCATGGTCAAGGAAAACACACTGAATTCTTTACCAGGGAAGCCCTATAAATAAATAAAGCATCGCTATGTTTGACTAAGTATTTCTAGAACATTATACCAAATTTTTTTTTTTTACTATTACTTCTCTTTGTTAATGGAGTAGGAAATGGCAACCCAATCCAATATTCTTGCCTGGAAAATTCCATGGACAGAGGAGCATGGTGGGCTACAGTCCATGGGATTGTAAGAGTCAGACACAACTGAGTGACTTCGACTTCACTCTCTTTGTTAAATACCAATTTTTTGCTATTCCTTCAGAATTTTTCAATTCTAGCCATTGTATTATGGGTGTTTTTCTCTGTAATAGTGATTTTTTAAATATTCTGCTCATAAAGAACTCAAATGCTTCCATCACGAATAACTGACAGAAGACTAGAAAACACAGAAAAATAGTTACAAGCTATACACTATCTGTGAATGTAAAGGCTCGTTTCTATTTCTTCTTCACCCGATGAAAAGGTTCTTCATCATGAACCCAGATTGCTTTGTTTCCTGGAATCAGAGCCACCCTCCAGGATCAGCTCTCAGAAGACAGTGGGGTTCCCAGTCCCGACTTCCCCCTCCGACCTGCCCATTCTGGGAAGCCATTTTCTTCATCATCTTATGCTGGACAAGAATTGCATCTGTGCTTCTGAGTTAGAAATTTGATGTAAATGCTTTTGGCATTTGTTCTCACTATTTTGATCAGTAATTCAAGCTTCATTTGGTAAAGACTGTAGTTTTATCAGTTTGATCAGACCTGATAAAATTGTGGATTTGATGAGAATAATTTCCTTGCTCATTTTCATTATTTTTGATCAGTAGTAAAAAAGTCTAAACAATTTGCTATGTCCAGTTGCCTTGTTTTTATTGTTGTGATCAGTAATTAAACCTGAAAAATGTGTCATGAACTCTGCAGATTTTATATAGGTCATGAATGGCAGAAACCTGCTCTTTCATTATTATCAGCTTTTAAAAATTTAAGCAGACTGCTTCTAAAACACTACCTTTCTGTTGCCATTTTCCCTTTTTCTGAGTTCTATTTTTGTGTCTTCTTTTCCAACCCTATCTTGTCATGTACTGTTTCTCAATAGTCTAAAGATTTTTAAAACATGATTGTATCCAAAGACTATTTGAATATATACACATAAGAATCCAAGTTAAATATACAAAACTTAACACATTATTTTTCATACATATTTTGATAATTTTTAAAAAAAAATAATCTAAACTGAGCAAAATGACACAGTAGGAGATATCAGCCTTCATTCCCTGCAATGAAAAACAATTAGACAGCTATTCACAAATGAAAATAGCTTTAGGAGGGCTGAAGAGTCCAATTAAGAACCTACAGTAACACGGTGGAACAACGAAGGAGAAAAACTGCGCAGAAAGGACCGATGGGGAGACCAGCTCAGCAAATACACTGGAGGCAGCGAGGATCAAAGAAGGCGGTCCAGCAACACCAGCCATGCGGCAGGCACCACTGTGGGCATGTGGCCTGGTTGATGGGGCCCGGGCAGCCTTTGCCACTGGGGACCCCAACAGTACCTCTGTCAAACTGCCCACAACCACAGCTGCCAGCACTCCACTCCAGGGTACACCCAGCCCCAGAGGCTGCTTGGCTTGCTCCATGCTCCCCAGCAGACAACAGCTCTGCTCCCTCATCTCAGGCTCCCGACCCAGCACTGCTTCAGGCTGGCCAGCACCCCGAGCACAGGAGCTGTGGCTGACCCACAAGGGCCCGCCCTCCAGACCCCAGGTCCACGGCCACTGCACGGGCACCCACACACCCACACCTGTGACATCACCACCGCAAAGCTGGACCACAAGCTGGACCAGTTACCAAAAAAACCCCGCAGTTACAACATCGCCCATGGAAGGAAAAACAGTAGGTGGTCCCAGCAGACTCTGCCTCGGTGGTTCAAGCAGTAAAGAATCTGCCTGCAATGCAGGAGACTCAGATTCGATCCCTGGGTTGGGAAGATCCCCTGCAGAAGGGCATGGCAACCCACTCCAGTACTCTTGCCTGGAGAATTCCATGGACAGAGGAGCCTGGCGAGCTACAGTCCATGGGGTCACAAAGAGTCGGACATGACTGAGTGACTAACACTTTCACTTTCTTTCTTCCACAGTAGACTCTGCATCGGTGCAGACGCAGCACTGGTCCTTAGGAGCCCTGCAGCCTTCATCAACATCGTCCCCACACTGCAAACACACGGAGCAGCCCCCAGTCAGAACCACCATACCCACCCAGCCAGGGCCTCTCACCCACACGCAGTCACGGTCTTCCTACACCAAAATCAGTCTGTCCAGAATGAGAGGTGACTGCTCCCCCAAGGACACAGACATCAGAGCGAGGCTACAAAAAACACAAACCTTGCTCAATCCAGCCCCTCCCAACACCCACTGGGTGCCGCCCCTGGGGATTCTTTTAGTCCAGAGCTCCAACTTCTCTCTTAGCTCTGGACTAATTCCCTGGAGAAAAAGGAAAAAGCTCAAATTTCTTTACAATTAGTTTGGAATTCAAGATACCCCTGCTGCTCTACATATCTGACAAGCAAGTATGTAAGCTAATATGTTATTAAAATTTAAAAGTCCATCAAAACTGACTCCTTGTCAGGACTAATTAGGAAATCTCTCATCCTTAACAAGTATAAGGGAAGTTAATTTTTAAATTAGATTCATTAACTCCACATTCCAGCTGCCGGTTTGGTTTAATAAGATTATGGACCTGTGGGAGGGAACAAGACAGTTAATGAAGTTACTATAGCTCATAAAGTTAGAATGGCTTACTGAGCTGTTAAAAAAGAAAACACTATTTATGGTGGAATTGCAATAAACAGCATTTTGTACTAAATATACATGTTGTTTAACAGACCCTTCAGAGTACAGAAATAACATGAATCCTCATTTAAAAATCTGTCACAGGGTATGAGACAAACATATACACTGACATAGACTCAAATGTCTATTGCAAGGAGATCAGACCAGTCAACCCTAAAGGAAATAAGTCCTGAATATTCAATGGAAGGACTAATGCTGAAGTGGAAACTTCAATACTTTGGCCACCTGATGCAAAGAACTAACTCATTCGAAAAGACCCTGATGTTGGGAAAGACTGAAGGTGGGAGGAGATGGGACAACAGAGGACGAGATGGTTGGATGGCATCACCAACTCGATGGGCATGAGTTTGAGGAAGCTCCGGGAGTTGGTGATGGACACAGAAGCCTGGCATGCTGCAGTCCATGGGGTCGCAAATAGTCGGACACAACTGAGCAACTGAACTGAACTGAGACTCAAATGAGATTCGCCTTACAGGATGTGTGTGTGTGTGCTTAGCCGTGTCCGACTCTTTGTGACCTCATGACTGTAACCTGCTAGGCTCCTCTGTCCATGGGATTCTCTAGGCAAGAATACTGGAGTGGGTTGCCATTCCCTACTCGAGAAGATTGTCCCACTATCTGAGCCACCACAAAAGCCCTAGAAGAGGCTAAAATCAACCCTAACTTTCTCATTTCTCAAATGAGAAAATGAAAGCCAAGGGGAACACTGTATAACAGCCATACTGAGATAGAATTTGCACACCAAAAAACTCACCCACTTAAAGTGCACAATTCAGTGCTTTTAGTGTGTTGGCAGAACTTTGCAGCGATCACCAGTATCTACTTTTAGAATATTTTCATCACCCCAAAAGACCCAAAACACAGCATCATGTCGCGTTCATCTATCTCATCACACATCCTCACGAGCAGAAATCCTCCCATGGACTCGCCCACTCCACGGCCCCTACATCACTGTCTCTACAAGGTGTCTATTCCGAGAGCTTGTTGGAGGTTCTAGCAGGGTTCTGCTTGCATGCCCTTGACCAAGGACCGGTCCTCCTCTACTGGGGATGGGTGTCCTCTTCAACCAAGCGTGCAGCTTTGGAAGGGATACACAGAGGGAGGTGAGAGAGGAAAGGGGACACCCACCTCACCAACCAGATCAGCCAAATCAACCCTGGCGATCAATGAGGTGGCAGATGTCGAAACCAGATCACCCTCACAATACGTCTATTCTAGAGGCTTATACAAATAAAACCATACAATATATGCTGGTTTGTGACTGGCTCCTTTCACTAAGCAAAGCATTTTCGAGTATTGTCCACACAGTAGCATGAATAGTACTGCCCTTTTACTGCTGAAAGATGTTTCGGGGAAATGGACAAACCACATTGTCTCTATCCACTTATCTGTAGATGGGCATTGGGATCACGTCCTGATGAATACTACCACTAGGAGCCGACTCATTGGGAAAGAGTCTGATGCTGGGAAAGATGGAGGGCAGGAGAAAAAGGGGGTGACAGAGGATGAGATGGTTACATAGCATCACTAACTCAGTGGACATGAATCTGAGCAAACTCCAGGAGACAGTGGAGGACAGAGGAGCCTGGCGTGCTACAGTCCATGAGGTTCCAGAGTCAGACACGACTCAGTGACTGAACGACACACTACTATAAACATCCCTGTACAGCCTTTTGTGTGGAAACATGTCTTTGTTTATCTTGGTTATCTACCTAGGATTAGGGTTACTGGATCACATGGTAATTCTACATTTAAGGCTTTGAGGAATTGCCAAGAAGTTCTCCAAAGTGGTTCATTTCACAGTTCAATCAGCAAGGTTTCTCCACGTCCTTGCTGACACTTGTTTTTATATTTTTATTTTCACCATTCTCAAGGGTTAAAGTTGTAGCTCATTCTGGCTTTGATTTGCATCTCCTTAGTGACTAATGTTGTTGAGCATCTTCTGATGGGCTTTAGTGGATATTTGTGTATTTTCTTTCAACAAACAACTCTTCAAATACTTTCCTCAATTTTGACTGCGTTACCTATTTTGTTGTTGTTGTCGAGATGGATGGGCTCTTTGTTTTATTTACAAAAGACTCCTATCACATATATGATCTGAAAATTTTCTCCAATTCTTTGTCTTATTTTTTAATGGCATCCTAGTTGCTAATTTTGGTGAAGAACTATTTATCTACTTTTTCTTTTGTCACTGTGCTTTTGGTATTGTATCCCAATTGCTGAACCCAAGACTGAGAAGGGATGTGGTGGAGGCTGGGACCCGAAGGGTAGACCAGACAACCCTGGGGCAGATCCAGCCGGCCCCCGTTTCCAGCCTGCATTCTGTATTGGGGTTCCTCTTGGAGGTCCAGTATAGCACATAACTTTGCTATAATTTGGTTGGTCCAACTCTTTGCAACCCCCATGGATTGCAGTCCACAAGGCTCCTCTCTCCATGGGAATCTCCAGGTAAGAATACTAGAGTGGGTTGCCATTCCCTTGTCCAGAATATCCTCCCAGCCCAGGGATCAAACCCGGGTCTCCTGCATTGCAGGCAGACATTTTACCATCTGAGCTACCAGGGAAGCTTCCCTGATAGCTCAGTTGGTAACAAATCTGCCTGAGATTCTTTAGGTGTTCGGGTCTGGCCTGGAGAATTCCATGGACTGCACAGTCCATGGGGTAAGAGAGTCAGACATGATTGAGCCACTTTCAATTTCACTTGCTATAGTTTGACCAAATTGGTTACCTTTGTTTGTTTGTTATTTGTTGTTTAGTCTGTAAGTCTGTCTGACTCTTGTGACCCCATGGATGCCCACCACGTTTCTGTGTCCATGGGATTCCCCAGGCAAGAATACTGGAGTGGATTGTCATTTCCTCCTCCAGGGGATCTTCCCAATCCAGGGGTTGAACCCTCATCTCCTGCACTGGCAAGCAGGTTCTTTACCACTGAGCCAACAGGGGAGCCCGTGCCTTTATTTACCATGTTATCAAATTCAATATTCTGCTAAGAAACAGAGTATCTTGAGTCTTTCACATTGAAAAGTCCTTTCACTTAGCATATACAATTTACACCATTTCCAGCAGTGGTCCATTTTTTATTACCAGTTATTCAAGGTTGCTCCACTGAACTGAATCTTTATGTGCAACATGAAAAGTGGTTTGCAATCCTCTGCAGCAGCCCTTGCCTTTTCGAGGAAACACTCTCCCCAAAAGAATCCTGCTCCCGGGAGTCATGGTTACGAAAATCTTAGGGAACATGTAAATTGATATAAGAAGGGATGGCTACTATGTAGAATATGATTTTAAAGGAGCATCAAATACTGATTGCAGTGTAATTTCAATGCAGCACCTTGACATGAGTGTCCTATTTAATCCATTAATGTATAATCTATAGGAAAGCTGTTTAATATCTCTGCAATTTTAATGGTTTAATGGTGACTGAAACAACAGGATTCTTTCACTTCATAATATTCAGAACTTTAAGCGAATTTTCAAAGTGAAGCCTGTGTTTTACATTTGGTCCCATCAATTCATGGCAAACAGATGGGAAAAAATGGAAGTGGTGACAGATTTTATTTTCTTGGGCTCCAAAAATCACTGCAGATGATGACTGCAGCATGAAATTAAGATACTTGCCTCTTGGAAGGAATGCTATGACCAACCGAGTGAAAGGGAAAGTTGCTCAGTCATGTCCAACTCTTTACAACCACATGGACTGCAGTCCATGGAATTCTCCAGGTCAGAATACTGGAGTGGGTAGTCTTTCCCTTCTCCAGGAGATCTTCCCAAGCCAGGGATCGACCCCAGGTCTCCTACACTGCAGGCAGATTCTTTACCAGCTGAGCCACAAGGGAAGCCCAAGAATACTGGAGTGGGTAGCTTATCCCTTCTCCAGAGGATCTTCCTGACCCAGGAATCAAACCAGGGTCTCCTACATTGCAGGCAGATTCTTTACCAACTGGGCTATCAGGGAAGACCTATGACCCTAGACAGCATATTAAAAAGCAGAGAAGTCACTTTGTCAACAAAGGTTTGTATAGTCAAAGCTATGGTTTATCCAGTAGTCACGTGCGGATGTGAGAGTTGGACAATAAAGAATACTGAGTGCCGAAGAACTGATGCTTTTGAATTGTGGTGCTGGAGAAGATTTTTGAGAGTCCCATGAACAACAAAGAGATCAAATCAGTCAATCCTAAAGGAAATCAACCCTGAATATTCATTGGAAGGACTGATGCTGAAGCTGAAGCTCCAACACTTTGGCCACCTGATACAAAGAGCCAACTCACTGGAAAAGATCCTGATGTTGGGAAAGACTGAAGGTAAGAGAAGAGGGCAGCAGAAGATGAGATGGTTAGACATCAACAGACATGAGTTTGAGCAAACTCCAGGAGATAGTGAAGGGCCAGGAAGCCTAACACGCTGCAGTCCATGGGTTCACAAAGGATCAGACGAAGCTGAACAACAATTTGTTTTGGAAGAATATCAGAATTTTCCTCCCCACTCAACAATAGTGTCAAACTTCAAAAGATTAAAATCAATGTACTTCCAATGGCAGTAACTAGCTAGTTAATAAAAATGCTTTATTAACCATCATTTTTAAAGGCTATTCCTTACTGCTTTCCAGAGAAATGCCATCGATGTTACTGTTTCTAAATTATCTATGGTGGGAAGATTTAAGTATTAACAACTTTAGATTGCTGTTAATATTTAAATGGTTAAAAGAGTCATATATCTTCTGAATATGTAAGTTCACAAAAGAGATTTAAAAGAATGAGTTAAAAGTACGTCAATAGAGTAGATACAAAAGAACAGACATTGGTTATTTCTAAAAAGAAACTATAATTTGAAAATGTATATACCTAATTCCTCCATATTATTTTATGAAATTCATATAAAAGATCAAAAACCATATCTATTATCATGACATTTTCACACTTTACAGTAAGATACGCAAGCTATTTTCAGTCATTGTGAAATTATATTCTGCATACAATTTACCTAAGGAAGGGCTTCTGAAATTTAAGGTTTCACAGTGATTCATTTTATTCCAAAATTAAATACATACATAAGAATAATATAGCTTTTATAGGGCTTGTTCTCCCATAAAATATGTTGAACATGTATTTATACAGTAGTTATTTACATAGATGGCTGGCTTACTAATTAGTACTCTCCATCCACAAAGCGCGTTGGTGCAAATTTACCGGCTGATATGATTGCAAAACTCGGCAGAACAAAGGGAGAGAAATTTTGTATCCTCAACAGAGAAAAAGCTACATGGACAGAAGGTAGAAAATCAGTGGTTCTAATATTTATTCCCTTTATCATGAAATTAATCCATCAAGAAAAATACCAATAGCAACTTAATACACTGCTCCACCCATGATTGTTCAAAGGAGGGGGGGCAGCCCCTCTTCTATCTGCCAGGTGGGTGTGGAGTGACCCCCCCCACCCCGAGGTGTGATCCTCCCATTCTATCTCCAGCAAGAGACCCCCCCACCACCACCATGTCTCCTCTTAGTCATCTCATACCTGCCAGTCATCTCGCACCTGCCACCCCAAATCCCCTCCTGGGCTGTAAGCCCCCCTGTTGTTCAGAGTAGACCCCAGTCTGCATGCCCCATCACAGTTGCCTTCAGACAGAGGCAGGCACAGTCAGCCCACCACACCAGGCTGTCCTCGCCTCTGTCAGTGGCTACATTCTTCACAGCAGGCTCACGGGTTGTGGCTCAAACCTTCAACATTTTCACATTCAAGGCAAAGTGAGGTAAATAAGATGTGTGAACTTCCCTTTTCCTCTGAGCAGTCTCACAGCCACCTGCCCATGTGTACACAGGACACAACAGCCTAGAACCTCTGTCATCACCGCTCCCTCCCGCGGCAGGAAGACGCGATTCCCCCGCTTTTACCCGTGAGGGGGACAGAGTACCCCTGCAAGCACCCCCTCCACATCCCTGTGGTAGGAACCTCATCGTCATCAAGCACAGAGGATGGTGAGAGCACCAGGACTCTGACACCCCGCAAGAGCTACAGAAGCAATGATCCGCAGCAAACGTCGGCAGCCAGTCTCAGGGCTCCCACAGCACCTGCTGCCAGCTGAGAGCTCACCCACCCTCAGCAGAACAGGGGGTCAAGGTACCTCCCAGACCTTCAGTTCTCAGATTGCTAATAAGTGCCCCCTTTACCCGCAATTTAGTCAGTGAAAAGCAGATAGGCTGCATAAAGTGAACGGGAGTCGGCGGTGGGGGGTAGTGAGAGTGTCCTCCGGGGTGTGACAGGAAGTGAGGAAGGAACAGAGATGCGGGGCCGGAAACAAGAGTCCAGATCTGAGCAACACTCATAGACCCGGGACCTGAATCGTTTCTCTGCAGTAGCTGTGAGCCACACCATCGGAGGCGAGGCCCCGGGATGACTTCACTCAGGTGACCACCGCGGGCTGGGGTGGGAGGGGGGGCGGGTGTCCACCATCGTGGCAGGCTCTGCTCCTCGCCGTGACCCCCTCCTCCCGGAGAGGCTCAGACACATCACCCTCGTGTCTTCCTCTACACACATCTGTAAGCACCACGGGATTTACCCACTGCGTGGCTCCCGGGGACCAGGCACCCTCGAGGCACTTCCTCATCCTTGTTTGTTCCAGACCCACAACTCTCCAAGTCGGATGTTGTTGCTGCTGCGGAGGAAGGAACAGACTCTCTGGGACTGAGCATCTGGCCCTGGATCCCAGGGCAGGCCAGGCAGAGCCCGCTTCACACCCAGGTCGCTGAATTCAGCTCCTCCTTTGTGCAGCCCTCACGCCTTCACTTGCAAACGACAGACCAGGACGGTTCTTAAAATAGCCCTTACGTCTTCTTCTTGGCGTCCCAACTCCTGCCAAAAGTTATATTTTATTTATGATTCATTTTCTGCAAGTATTCTTTTCCAAAAGTATGCTCTTTTACTTTCTAAAAAACACGCAGAGATGTGCTATTTACGGTCCTGAGACTTGACAAGCCAGGAAGAGCATCCACCTTGCGGGAAGCGGCCCTGGGCTTAAGAATCTGTCTTGTGAGTTTTTCTAGTAAGACAATTCCATATTCAGGAGCATACAAAATTAACAAAACACTTAATAAAAATTACGATGAAGACATATGGGCCGAATATATATGTTCTATGTGTAACAGCCAACCCCCAGTGTCAACTTTCATCACCGAGCTAAAAACTCTCATTTCATGATTCTCCACATCCCACGCGGAAGTAGGATGTGGTGTGCTCTCCCAGGCCACGAGAGCCCCTGGGTGTTGAACTGGGTGCCCAGAGGCCCTCGCCCCTGCACTCCTGGCCTGGTGGTGGGGGATGCGGGGGTGAGAGTAGTTTGGGGGAACTCGGAGCATCGCCCACCGGAGGGTGCGGGGCGAGGCCCAGCCGGAGCGGTACGCGGCGTGGACGCGAGCCCGGCGCAAGGTTACGTGAGTAATTTTCCAAATGCAACAGACCCCCTTCATTCAGTTCAGAGTAGGAAAAATGGGAGTGGGGTGGAGTGGGAGTGGGGATGATAAAGGGACTAAATCGGGAATCTGTGCAGGAAAGTTACCAAAGGAATGAAGATGACAATTCTCCGTGGAAATTTCTGGAAGATGTTTGAAAGGAGACGGACCCAGGAGCGCACCAGTTCATTTCAGCGCTTCACTGCTCGCGCTTTCCTTCCAGTCTAAGCGCGGAGGTCTGGGGTCGCAGGAAAGGTAGACGCCGGCTCGACCACCATCTGGGCCGGGATCCGGGGGGTGCGGGGGAGGGTCCGGCGGGCTCGTCTGGGGCGCGGGGCGAGGACCCATCCGCGCCAAAGCCGCCGGGAAGGCGCGCGTCCTCCCCCGCGGTCGCGGCACCGTTTCCGGAACCCAGCGTCTCGGCCGCCGGGCGGGATTGGGAGCTCACGGTGACTAGTTATTTCGTCCACGCAGGACAGCTTTTCTTCTTTTTATCCGATAACATTTCAAACCCTAAGGGGCAGGTGTGGTGATAACTGGCTTATCTAGCTATAAGCTGCACATACCCGTCTGCTCTCAAAAGATGGTTTCCTTTCTTGCTGTGTATTGCGCTCCTCAGACACTGGGCCAGTGATTTCTGATTTCTCCTTGACTACTGAATATGTTAACAGGACCGGTGTGCGCCCTGCGCTCCCGCCCCTCCCCCGCGCCCCCGGCGCAAACTCGCCCGCAGGCGCGCGTGTGCGCGGAGCGCCCCGGGGGCCCCGCGCCTGCAGACCGGGCGCTTGCCCGCTTCGCGCACGGGCACCCGTGGAAGGAGCAGCTTCTGCAGTGAACGCGTCTCTCGGTTCAGCGTGCACTTTCCAGTCGCTCGGTAAGCAGGTATGTGTAAGTTCTTGGTTCTATCTTTAGAGACTGAAATCTTCAAACAACTCTCATCCAAAATAGAACTTAAAAAAAATATAAAACAGAAAAACAAAGTAAAACTTGGTCAATTTAGGCGACAATTCCAGATGACCAACGTGGGAGACAAAGATGGTGAGTGGAGAACGTTTTGTTAATTTTGTCTACCTTATGAGTATGAGGGAAAACAAATTCATTCGTCTTCTCTCGGTAATTGTTTGCTGCTGCTAAGTCGCTTCATTCGTGTCCGGATCTGCGCGACCCCATGGACGGCAGCCCACCAGGCTCCGCCGTCCCTGGGATTCTCCAGGCAACACTGGAGTGGGTTGCCATTATTGTTTAGTCACTTTCTATTCTACTGTAGGTGAATACTGCCCTCTTTTGGCAGAATGTTCGAACTTTTAAATAGCTGGGGTTTTGGGGGTTTTTTTTTTAATATAAAAAAAGAAGAAACTCGTCTCCATGAACAAGAACGATTTATTTTAAAATAACCTTGAACTATGCTTGACATTGTTCATGTGTCTTTTATTGTCTGTTATCAATAAGCCACAAAGCCGGCTTCTTCCTTTCAGGCCGATTGTTACCATTCCAACACTCTTGGGGATGTTTGCAATTTATTAGATAACTTGGACAAGAAGAGCAGGTTAATGTTACCGTTTTCAGCTCAAAATATCATAAATATTATATTGTATTCGTAGGGCATTTTTTTCTGGAAGGAAAGACTAAAAACTTTCTAGTTTAAAAGCTTAAGCTGATGTTTAATGAGAAAACGGGAAAAAAAAAAAAAAACCTACTGTTGCATTCCATGAATGTAAGGCTAAGAACTGCAGGACCCAGGGAGCTTATGAATGAATGACACAGCTGCGTCGTGGAAAATGCAGTCAGCAAGGTGGAGGTGTCTTGTTTAGCTGGAGAATTTACTTAACTAAGTGAAAATTCGGGTTTGATCCCTGGGTCAGGAAGATCCCCTGGAGGAGGAAATGGCAACCTACTCTGGTATTCTTGCCTGGAGAATTGCATGGACAGAGCAGCCTGGTGGGCTACAGTCCATAGGGTCACAAGAGTTGGACACAACTGAGCAACTAAGCAAGTCATATTAACTACAGATTTAGGGCAGTAGGGCCACGGGAAGAGGAGAAAAGCCCTTTCCTAAATTAAATGGGGAGTCTTGGCTAGAATCTCCATCCCTATCAAGTTCAGTAATGGCGAACTAAAAATAATCCACCTACCCACCCCCAGCTCCCAGAGAAGGCAAAGAAAACTGCCTATTTCAAAATTTGCTATTCGAAAGGAGGAAGGGAGTTAAGTCTCCCTAAAGATGCAACATGCCCCAGATTCGCTTTTCCATGGATGCATGAAAACCTTAAATCCAGGACTTAAAAGAGGTCAGTGAACCAGCAGCGCTCATGAAGTACAAGAGAAACAGGGCTCATGAAAGCTAGCTGACAGTAGTTTTGCTTTCATGAGAAAAAGCCCACTGTAGAGTTCAGATACTGGAATTAGACACAGAATCAACCCTGAATATTTACTGGAAGGACTAATGCTGAAGCTCCAGTCCTGATACTTTGGCCACCTGATACAAAAAGCCAACTCATTGGAAAAGATCCTGATGCTGGAAAAAATTGAGGGCAGAGCCTGTGAAGTCAGTGAGAAACACATATAAAGACATAAGGATACAGCGAAGGTTGAAAACAAAAAATCTTTAAAAAGAAACTATCAGTAAAAAAATTTACAAAAGACCTGAACAGGAATTTTCAGTTAAGTTATGTCACTCGGTCATGTCCAACTCTTTGTGACCCCATGGACTGCAGCACACCAGGCTTCCCTATCTATCACCAACTCCCGGAGCTTACTCAAACTCATATCCATCAAGTCAGTGATGCCATCCAACCATCTCATCCTCTGTCATCCCCTTTTCCTCCTGCCTTCAATCTTTTCTAATCAGTTAGTTCTTCACATCAGGTGGCCCAAGTATGGGAACTTCAGCTTCAGCATCAGTCCTTCCAATGAATATTCAGGACTGATTTCCTTTAGGATGGACTGGTTGGATCTCCTTGCAGTCCAAGGGACTCTCCAGAGTCTTCTCCAATACCACAGCTCAAAAGCATCAATTCTTTGGTGCTCAGGTTTCTTTATGGTCCAACTCTCACATCTATACATGACTCCTGGAAAAACCATAGCTTTGACTAGATGGACATTTGTTGGCAAAGTAATGTCTCTTTAAATACACTGTCTAGCTTTTGTCATAAGCTTTGTCATGGCTTTTCTTCCAAGGAGCAAGCATCTTTTCATTTTTTTATGGGAATTTTACCAAAAGGATTTTGGTGAATTCAGATTCTACCAAATTTTAATGGGAATTTTACCAAAAGGAAACCTGAAACCAAGAAGCACTTGAAAAGATGCAAAACCTCTCTAATAAGTGACAAAGCCCAACAGCACTTCAATGTCAGATGTAGGTGAGGATACGGAATAGCTAGAAGATTTAAACACTGCTGGAAAAGACACAAGTCTGCACGATTCTGCACCATCCGGGAAAGGTGGACATCGTCACGGCCTCTGGGCAGTGGTTCCTGCTCCTGGCTGGGTGCTTGAGGACTCTGGCACATACAGGCACAGGCATGTTGAGTGGTCTGGGGGACCACCTGTCCATCAGCAGTAGGATGAACAGGTAACCAAGCTATGACCTAGCATTGCTACAGACAACAGGGACCAGGCTCAGAAAGACAATGTGCAGTGAAAAGTGAGTGCACAGGAATGCATAGGGTGCACTCACATCGCTTAGAGATACAAGTGTGTGTAAAACCATAGCAGAAAGCCAGATGCCTGCTCTTACATGTACATTCAATCATTCAATTACATGTAAAAAATCAGTCTTTTTCGACTTCACATGCACCTTATAAATATCCCTCATATCTACTCAAATAGTTTATAAAAATTAACTTGTAAGAACCCCACAGCCTTCAGACATGGCAGCAGTCAAAAGGCAATGAGATGTCCAGACACAGACACCTCTGTGCTGTAATTCAGCATACATCCACAGGTATTGAACTTCTCTAAACTTGAAAAGGAAAAAGAAAACGCAGGCCACTGACAGTGATGCTTAATTATATGCAAGTGTTTATTTAAAATAATTTTCCAAGTTTTCCTGTAATTTAACAGCTTTTGCTTCACTTTTATCCTCTCAAACAGCTAGAAACTGATGCTTACATTTTCTGTATTTTAACTATGAATGCTATTTTAATGACATCTTTATTAACACTAGAACCAAGATATATCAACCAACAAGCAGCACAGATTTAAATGACCTTCCTGGTAGTTACAGTGTGGCTGGCAGTTTTTGGACTTTATCAGATGCTGGACAGTATTTCACGCCATCTCCAACCAGCTTAGGGAAGTGTTGCTCCCCCCTTCAGGCCTACTTCCTCTCTGCAAAATAAATAAAGCTTATCCTGCTGTAAAACCCCATGAATGTACTCTCATCACCTTCCAATTACTTCATCTTTATTTGCAACCTCTCCACCTATAAAGCATAATTATTCACACTCAAGTATAACATGATTCATTAAAAAATAAACACCCAAAATATCCTCAATCATTCTTATATATTCCCATTAATAAAGGGCTTTCACTTAAAAATTCATTTTTTATTTCTACTTCTTCAATAGTAAAGTCACAACTGTAAAACAAATGCATTTAAAAACACAAAAGATACATTTCAATGACCAAAAATAGGCAATGATTATGAAAATCTATTGTACATTTTGCCAAGGCCAACAAATGAAAGCTGATACGAAAAAGTCAATCTTCAAATATATCCTTAACAAAAACTTCCCTCATGAATAGTAAAATCATTTAAGAAAAGGTTATCTTTACATACGTGGACACTTGCTTCAAAAACAACAAAGCTAGGGTGGGGTTACAAGTAATCTCCTAAAACACATTTGTTTCAAAATAAAATGACCATTTCTAACATGATAACTGTATGAAACAATTGTTTTTCCTTGATAGAAATGAGATGGGCACATAACAGTAACTACAGCTTAGTAGTCGTCTAAGAAACCCTGTGGAGACACTATACCCCCAACCCCCAGCTCAGTCGCTGGTATAAAACCAACAGCTTCCGTGAAATCATCTTTGACGTTACTAAAGGGATCCTGGGATAATTCATGCTCAGAATATTTCCAACACTTGTTTTTACATATGTAGAGTTTTCAGAACTGAGGTGTTTTTGGAACCGTCCATGTGTGAACCTCTGCAGAACATCATAGTCCTTCAACTGCACTGTGACTGCATTTCCTCAAGCATGTCTGATCAACAGTTCTAACAGTGATGCTGGTGGCAGTGACACTCTCAAAATTATTCCTTCTATAAATACATATAATCCATCAGAACACTAAATAGTAAATAGGCTACACTGTTTACTTTCATAAGCAAGGAATGACTCTTCAGGCCCTAGTAAGCTAAGAATGGCATTTACTACCTGTTTTACCACTGACATTCAAATAATGAATAAAGTATGTGATATTAAGTGAAAAACAAAAATCACTGTTATTTCACCACAAGAAACAACCACAAAATAAAAACACGGGAAGAAGTTAAATGAGCCCAATGCAGGTCCCAAGATTAAACTATGATTCTGGATTTTCAAAGCAAAAGGCATCTACACGTCATTTCTGTGAACGCTCCCGATACCACAGAGGTGAGTTTCAGACCAGGGCAGGCTGTTCTGCCCTACCTTCCCAGGGCAAACCTGCAACCAACCAGAAGCTCCCTCTGCTAAAGTGCACCTGTGGCCAGCCCGCTCCAGCCTGACTCACCCACGAGCCATCGACAGTCACACAGAACTGTGCCTCTCCTGAACCAAATACTCTATACAGTGGACGTCAGGGAAAACAGTCCTAAATATACCACTACCTTCTAAAACTTCGGAGTAACACAGCCTCATCATGTTTAAATACTGAAAATGTCAAGGGTCCATACAAACTAAGAGCTGCATTAAGCATGTATGTTTTACTCTGACATTCATTTGATGTGCTCTTAAAATCTTGATGAGAGAAGCAAACGTTTTCCCCATGTCTTTTGGCAACAGAATCAAAAGCGAGAGTAGCGGTGCTGTTGAATTCCATGAAACGTGGGTTTTTAAAGCTAAATTATTCAATATCTGCATTGTTATTGCACTCATACATTGCCCAGAGTAGGTCTACAGCAACTTGGCAGTGGGGACTGCAACGCAAGTAGGGGGTCTGCAAAGCGTCTGCCTTCCTTGCTAGACAAGAGTTCCCATGCAGGAACTGCACACGACTGCAGTTCAAATCTGATCACATGCGCTTCATGATTGTGTCTCCCTGAGGGAAGTTAAGTCAAGCCCTCACCACTACTAACTAGTTCTGTCAGGAACCAAACGGGGATCTGCAGACCCAGTCCTGACTACGGCTGAGTTCCACTCTTGAAGCTGCTCTGAGTTAAAACAGCAATTTTTCCAAGACTTAAAGAAAAATATATTTTATAAAAGGGATTCTTTTTAATCACTGAATACATCATTTTTATTACTAAGACAGAAACAAGTTATACTTTTTTCCACTATAAATTCACTCTGATAAAAGAGAATTCTTTCTTTCAACTCCTAACAAATGCTACATTTTCAAGACGCAAGGAATTATCAGTAGGCATCCTATCTTCTTGCTCTAAGCTACTTCTCCCTGAAGTATGTCAAGTAGGCTTTTAGAGACTCTGGCAGGGGCAGCTTCATGATCTTCTCCCGCAGCAGGTTTTGGGGTGGCTCCTCCGGCTTCAAGGCTTCGCCTGGCTCCTTCTCCTCCTCCTCTTTGTCTTCCTCCATCTTCTCGTCCTCCTCACTATCGAGAGGCTGGGGGATGAGTTGGTTGCCCACAAAGACGTAAGTGTTAATCCTCTGCTTGACCCGCTTCCTCTTTCTTTTGGGCGGAGCCCTCTGAGGAATCCCCTTGGCCTGCATCTCATCATTTATGAAATTCCTAAGTGTGCGTCGGATGTAAATGCGAGCCAAGTCCTGCAGGTTCCTGACAGCACAGGGGGCTAAAAACACACGGAAAACATAAAAAGTGAAACACTACATACTGTTCACTTTTCAGTGAGCATCAGAAGACAGAGACACGTAAAAACTTTGACTTTCATCAAGCACAGACTCGGCGAAGAGCACTGACTTCATGCAGATCACTCCAGCACCAAGGCCAGCGGACGGGGTGGCAAAGGGGTGGTGGGCACAGACAGCCCAAGGCATGTGCATAAACCCTCTTGGGAAGGACCGGTGACTCACAGCAGGCGGAGCACAGGAGAGCTGAGTGGTCAGGGGACTGAGGGGCAGGGGCAGGGCTGGTGACAGAATGGGGGTGACATCACCCCACCATGACCTACTGTCAGCCCACCATGACCTGCTAAGACCAGGGGGGCAGACAGGGGAGGCAAACATGGAGGGGTCGCTGCAGTAGGTGGGCTGGAGAATCACCCAGGAAAGAGCTTCAGAAGTTACAAAGATGCCAAGAAACACCTCCGTCTTCTGGATGGCTCGCTCCCGACTCCCCCGCACTCCGGGTGCTCTTCCGACACCTGCACTGTCTGCCTCTCCTGCCAACACTGCCTGCTGTTGCAGAAGAACCCAACAGTCCCATAGTGGAAAAGGACTCAGACCTGCTTCAGCCACTTCTAACACTCCCAAGTCCTAAAAGAGCTTCCACACAAGCTTCATTTAAATGTTCTTCTGATAATACAGAAACTTTCAGACAATTCTCAGCCCTAATTATTCAAAAACAGTGTTTTCTGTACTTTCATCTTCCTGGTTCCTAGTCATAAGAAGATCCAGTGGACCAGACAATACTAGTCCTGACTGCTATAGAATTGTACTGTGAACTGAAGTTCTGAGGCCACAACTACAAGGAAGGTTTTCTCTAACACACATAGACGTCAGCTCTGTTTATCTCCCACAAGGTTACTTACGGAGGCCCACAGAGTCTGGCTTGCCGTTGTCATTCTTACTTGGCTGCACAAGTGGAGCAAATGACACAGCAAGAATGTTTTTACTTTCCCAAGTGTTCTGTCCAGTTCGCATAATTTGTGTTAACTATTTAGAGGGAAAAAAAAAAAAAACAATGGCTCAATCAGGGAAGTGTGACCACCTTACACTCACAAGTTTGTTCTAACAGAAAATAGCAGAGACTGCTCTATAATCCCCTGTATTTGAATGTACCCAATTACCTTCATTTAAATATTTACCATAAACTAATACAGGAAGAATCCCAAGTACTGGTTTCACAACATATTCCATGCACACAAATGGCTCTGCAGGTTATATTAATATGGGGGTCTGATGTCATCAAGGGGTGTTATTCTAACACATGCCTGCCACTGGCTCCCTAAACACACATCTCACACAGTCGTGTAGTTAAAGTGTTAGTAAAAACACATTTTGATTACTGAACCAATGAGTCACCTTCACAATCTTCCAGGGTGGTAATAAAATACAGATTCTAATCCCAACTTCATACTTCATGAATAAATGTAATTAGTCACAAAGGGATTAGAGCCTTCCCACTTAGCAAACACCCATCAGCAGTACATGGCTTGATCAGGACAAATCAGTATCATTAATATATAAAAGTCAACCCATTATTATATTTTACATTAGCATAACGTATGTAAGAGATATTCAATAAAATACCAATGGGAAACCATATTTTAGATCTTTAAAAATATATCTTTAAAGGAAAACAGGAAAAAGATGATTAATCTGAGAATCTCAACTCTGGAAGCATCCAAGTTAATGTTTTTCCAAGAACGTATGTTAATGAATGCTTTATATTCTCTTTTTAATAACTGACACACAGTGTGATGAAGTCCTCCAACCTGCAGTTCACATGCTGTGAAAGTGGAGGACTCTCAGAGACGCCAAGACCACAACTCTAGGTGCCAGTCATCTGGGACAGTCCAGCTCCCACTTACAGACCACAGAGTGTTGTAAACTTCTCAGACTTAGGTTAGTATGAACATAAAAGATATTTTTTGAAATGTATATTCATAAATTTTCAAAGTAAAAGATCCACCCATTTTCTGAATAGATTATTTCACACGTTTATTATACCTAATAATTCCAAATCAAAGGCAGGCAAAGTGAAAAACAGTTTCAAATGAGTCATTGTGGTACTAAAGGAAGATCTAAAAATTTACTGGCTTCTGAAATGGAGTTAAGTAGTTCCAACCACACCCCTTCAGCTAGAAGAGGCCAGCACGTTCAACAGCAAGGACACTGGTGGGTCAGGGGGGTGTGTGTGGAGGGCAACGCGGCCAACACCACACACGGTAAAGCTCAGCTTGGCTCTTCTTTCCCTAGGTAAGGGGCCTTTTCCACACCTGCTCTGGTTAAGAGCTATGCGTCCATTTCAGTGCTTTTCTATACAGATACCTGTGCGGAGAGCACTTCTTCCTTAACAGTCACAGTGCACCTTTCACTGACGTAACAGCCCCCATCCTACACTGAGTGTGTCTCCCGCACCATCAAGCAGGACAGTGGCCGCTACCTGGTCCTCTATGGGCATGACCAGAATGCCCCCGACTTTCAGCAGAATCTTCATGTAGTTCTCATGGTCCTTCTGGACCCCAGCTCCACAGTAGATTCGATCATACTGATGACTGTCCGATGCTATTTGCAGGCAATTACCAACCACAAATGCAGGCTCACAGAACTCAAACCTGTATGGAGAAATAAAAAGTATTTTAATTCATTTAAACAAAAGATGAGACCTAAAAAATTAACATAATCCAACTCTTTGAAAGTGAAGTTACCAAAATTAATTATAAGGATAAAATATCATAAAATTTGAATTATGTATATTTATGAAATCTAACAGTGATCAAATATATTGTTTTATTATCAATGACACAGTATACATTTTTCCAAAACATCAACCTATTTTTCCCCCACACTGAAACCTTACTTAAGGCTCAGAGGTGAGTATAGTGAAAAGCCATCACAACACTCTTGTGACTGACAACCTGAAACAGTCTCTAACATACATAGTTAAAACCCCAAAGCACTATTAAAACATGTATGGTAATTTTAAGAAATTAATTCATGAAAATACCCTCTCAATTTTAAGTTGATTGAAATTAATATGACCACACAGCAAAGTCACGTTATCATCTGAGAATGAAATAATTTGCATTAAAAGGCTCAGCATGCAGTGAAAAATGTCTCTGAAATAATTTTTATTTTGTAAAATGTATCCTGCCCTTTGGTAATTAACAGACTTATTACAAGGGATTCCCTGGTGGCTCAGATGGTAAAGAATCCGCCTGCAATGCAGGAGACCTGGCTTCCATCCCTGGGTTGGGAAGATCCCCTGGAGGAGGGCATGGCAACCCACTCCAATATCCCTGCCTGGAGAATCCCATGGACAGAGGAGCCTGGCGGGCTGCAGTCCATGGGGTAGCAAACAGTTGGACATGACTGAGCAACCAAGCACAGCACAGACTTTTTACACAATGTGTTTCCATTAAATTCACTAAATATACAGACACCCCGTGGTCACTGATATTTAAAGAAGAGTTTCCCAGAATGATGCTCAGTCTTCAACCTCCTGTTCCGGGGTGGGGAGTGGGGTGGGAAACAGTGCAGGCCCTTCCCTCTCCTCTCGACACCCACAGGGGCGGGTGGTCCTAACCCCAGCTCCTTCTACTATGCCCAGTGTCCACACTTTCTGGGTGTCCACCACCCCCACCACCACCCTGTGCCCAGCTGCTCAGGACAGGTTCCCACCTCTGAGAGGCCACATGGGGCCCTTCCTGGCTCTGCCCTATCCCAGAGACACTGCTGTAGCCATGGGTGGAATTACAGGCCTCCAGTCATTTAGAGGAAATACTACAAGGTGACCCTGCATCTGTGTCATTTCTGTGACTGCACGGCCCCTCCCTCTCTTCTTAAACGCCCAGCATCCCTTCAAGACACAGTTCAAATACGAGCCACACTACACAAAGCACTCTTACCCAACTCTTCAGGAACATCTCAGTCTTTCTACCTGCATAACACTCACGAAAGTATAAACTTATATATGTAATGGGCAGCGTTTAATTTCTCTCTTATACTCAAGACTACTGGACAACCTAGGACTGTCTAAAATACAGCCAAAACAATCTCCTGGTGTTTAAATAACTAGATATTGTGGATCACATGGTTTAATCATCTCAAAGTCACAGTACGCATTCTTTGAAAAAAGCCTAGTATTTCCAATCTAAAAACCCTCATTATTATAAAAATTTATTTTAAATAACTTAATTTTACAATTTAAGCCACTCTTAAAATATTCTAGATGAACATGAGCAAGGAATTTAAGTAAAATTATTTTGAATTATTAAACCTCATTTATCATTCAGTCTGTTAAATCAACTTAAAAATATGCTTACAGTTTAAAAGCTTCCTACTAGTTAAAAATATGATAGCTTACAGAATTATTATCTACAAAAACACCATTACAGGTAAACAATTTAGACTTAAAACTGCTTCTCAAATTAGTGATATTTTTATACACTCTCATCCCAGCAAAATGGACTAAAAAGAACTGAGTGCCTGATTCTAAAATCAAATGTGCCTCTGGTCAAGTAGCCTGACACTAGCAATTAGCACAATTCACTCCAAACACTATTTGTGGAGCCCCAGTTGCGTGTAAAGACTGGATATACAGTGGGAGGCACTCATGCCTAATGCAGTGAAAGAGACAACAGTCTCAACAATTAAAGATGAACTTACAAGGATGGTAAATGCTCTAAAGAAACACCACTCCATAAGTATGGCTGAGGATGCAAGGGAACTGACAGGGCTGGAGAGCCTGAGGAAGGCTCCCTAAGAAACAGCGAGCTGGGATCTGAAAGGTGAGACAGGACAATCAGCCCCGCTAGCCACCAGCCTTGTGCATACAGGAGCCCTGAAATGTGGCTGGTGGCAAATGAGATGCACAAAAAGGATAAAAATCACATGAGATCTCAATATCTCAAATATTTAGCATGTAAAGTATCCCAGGATCTCATTTAAATACGTGTGTGTGTGTTAGTGTGTGTGTGTATATCTCAACAGCCACATAAACTGAAAGCACTAAGCAGCCGCCCTTCTACTTTATCAACTGTGAATAGGAGCTTCAAATACTTTCCTGAGCACAACCTCTCCTCTGGGACATTCTCCTGCTTTTCCCTGATAATCTCTTAGAACACTTCTTCTCAACTTTAATTATATCTCCATCACATTTTACAGTCCTCAAGAAACATTTATTAAGTGAAAAACCTAAGAAATGTAATTGTTTTGTCATCTTTTCCACCTACCAACTTTGAACATGAACTCAAACTTGACAAATAAGCTAATCACAAGAATCTCAGGACTAGAGATTTGCCCACAAACAGTTACAGAAAAAAATACGTGCCTGTGGCACCCTCTAAATCAACATGATGGTTCTTGCTTTACTAAATTGGAAACTATAAATAGCTGCAGTTTCATGTTACAAAACACATGATTTTTCCCCCAAAGTGCCAAAAAAAAGCAAAACAGTAAAAAAGCCAAAACAAAACCTTGCCTTTAATAAACCAACTGGCCCCAACTTAAAGGTGCTTTTTAGTGGCCTTTCTGAAGATCTTAAATAAGCCACCCTTATTTATTGTAGGAAACAAAGGCCTTTCCCCTACAAGGCAGATCTGAGCCAAGTATACTATCTTCTTCCATTTAGGAAGTGTTACAAAGAATCATTACAGAGAAAAGTTAGACCTTTACATTTACAAATGATTTCTACTAATGCAAATGGAACATACACTTCTAACATGTATATGGGGTCTTCCAAAGTGTGAAGACCCTTTCATTTAATATACCAAATTCATTTCCTTTACCAGCACACTCAAATTTGAAAGTTTAACTGAACTGAGGCAACATTCCAAAAGGAGTAGTAGGACTAGACTATTTCTAGATACAAAATAGTAAAGTTTCAAGGACATAATCAGGGAGAAAGGTGTGGCATTTTAAAATATAAACACTAAAACACAATGACTTAATAGTTACAAGAAACAGCCTAGCAGAAACAATGTTTCATCTGGGGACTGTTTATTACATCCACAGCTGTGGCTTCACCTTCTCCACCAATACTAAGTGAATCCTTCACTATAGTAAAGCAAACAAAACCACTCTCAAACTGCCTATACGTACAACATTATTTTTTAGTACATACACGGGTTAAAGATGATCCTTCCTATAAGGACTTGGAGATGAGTGTTAGCATTTCTGACTAGGTAGAGATGAGGATCTTACTTAGACACTTTATATTCTGATATTGAAATTATGGCTTGTTTTTATAACAGCATTTCATGTAAATAAATTCATACAAATTCTACTGCTAACAATATTTTTCCAAAAGTCTATGATTAAAATTCTTCAGGCAAATGTTTACCTGTGCTCATATATGATGTGCTCATATATGTATAAAGAATAACTGACTGATGTGAGGCAAGAATGGCAGCTACCAGGTGGTCAGGGTAAATTATAACTGCTGTTAATTTTTCCAGCATAAAGAGGAAAATAAAAGTTTCCTCCTTTTAGCTTTAACTAGATTCTGAAAGCTGCACCTTCTTTAAGTCTCCACAAACCTCTGTAGGCAAAGGACATATTTTATACCATAAACACAATTCTGTATAATCCAGAAGTCTGCATTAATGAACTAACCAGAGGTTTTCACTATTTGTAGATTTGCACATAAAATCTAGGTTTGAAAACAGTGAAAGAGAAAATCTAAATTCCACTTTTCACATCAACTACACATAAATGGAACCCAAGAAAGGAAAATAAAACAACAAAATTTTTTTTAAATGGCAAGAGGCCTACCAAAAGGATATTTGCTATGGTTCTAATTTTAATCCTAAAAGTATTGATCCTGTGTTCTCTCCTAGTTTTCATACTTTATTTAGGGCAGCTCATTAAAATTTTTTGCCTGTTAGTAACATAAAAAGTAGCAATCGTTTTTATTCTTTGAAGAAATTTTCCAAAACAAAATTTCCCAGGTACAGATGTCTTACACTCCTGAATTCCACCACGTTATACTTCCTAGCCATGTAAATTATCTGTATTAAAAAAAAGTACTTCTGAACTGTAATAACTACAAATTCAATCACTTTAGACTTATAATCATTTATTGATTTAAACCTGAAAACCTAATGGCTTTTTAGACTTACGTAGAAAGGGGAGAGTGTTTGACATACGCTTACTAAAACAAAACATACAAACAATATTTGTGGGAAAACCGAGAGCACAGGTATCTTGGTTTACGACATGAGCGCTTGGCCAAAAGGGCACCGACTCCATCACTTACCTTGGCAGGGGTCTCCTTTACAGGTGCACGCTGGGTTATCTTCATCTCCAGATGCACAGACGCTCCATTCACAGCAGGGACCTTGCCAACGTGCCCACATAATTCTCTGATAAGCTGCTAGGAGATCAGGGTGACCTAGCCTTGCCCTGCAGCTTCCCTCTTAGACGGGTATTCTAGGTCTAGGAGCTGACTGAGAGTAGAAAAAACAACATTCCCCTTCAATACACTGTTGAAATCGGGGCTGAAAATTTGCACACCTAGATTATCACGTGCCACAGGATGCTGTCATCAACACTTTAGTCTATCGTTCCAGCGCAATAAAGGATTTCAGGGACACAGGAAAGACTCCTACAGTGT